GTGGGGATTTTGTGTCATTTTTGTTCTATCAATAAGTGAGCGTTGGAGGTCGTCGACTAGAGCACTGTTTAGCAGCGAGCTGACGGCAGTGTCCTCTATATCGTCAGAGAGGAATCCGCACAGTCATGATCCGAGACACATTTGCAGCCGTTGCTGTATAGACTGCTGGAATACTCGCTGCAGTTCTTGCGTAAAAAAAAGAAAGTAGTAAGGAAGAGCTCGCCCCCCCCTAGACGATTCCTCCGGGACTTTCACCTGGACCTCCCCGGCCGGGGTCTTCATTTTTGTCTCTGCACCAGGAGTCGGGGCATCAGTGTCTCCGACCATCCCCCACTCCTTTTAGTCTCCTCTTTCTTCTTCCGATGTCATTTGAGAAAATCGACAATAAATAGCGGCCACACTCGTACTATTGGGGGGGGGGGGGGGGGGGGGAGCGGCGCCATAGACACGCGCTCACACCAAATGAGAAAAGACGAATAGTACAAGTGTGGGCGCTATATATCGTCAGGTAGCGTAAAAATACACAAGATGGAAAAGGAAAAGGGAATACAGAGGGACGAAGAGGGATAGCGTAGCTACAGAAGAGAAGAAAATCCGTGGGGAAGAGGCCAAGTGAGATGGAGCGCCGCAAAGAGTGGGTGTAATGTAGTAGTAACAGAGGGTTTATAAAGTTGTACTAGACGCGGGATGTGCTTGGTGTTGTTGGTACAGGTGGTGTCTATAGTCGGAGGAGCTTGGTGGCCTGGGACAGGATGGTGTCCTCCTGTGGGAAACTCATGGTCTCCAGCTTCTCGGCATATGGGGTAGGCACTTCAGCACCAGTGACACGGATAGCAGGGGCTTGGAGATAGTCGAAACCGTATTCCATGGCGAGGGCGAGGATCTCGGACGAAACACCGAACATGGGGAACCCGGACTCAACAGCGATCAAGTGACCGGTCTTCTTGACTGACTTGACGATGGCCTCAACGTCAAGCGGCTTGACAGAGCGGAGGTTGATGACCTCGGCCTCGACACCATACTTGGACTTGAGCTGGGCGGCAGCCTGAAGGGAGAGGCCAACGGAGCGGGAGAGTGTGACGATGGTTACGTCCTTTCCAGGACGCTCGATCTTGGCCTTTCCGAGAGGAATAACGAAGTCGTCTTTCTGGGCGGCCTCGCTCATGGGGAAAGATTGTCCATAAAGAAGCCTATCGCCGTCGTTAGCAAAACAAGGAGAAAAAAAAAGGGGAGGTCCAATATTCAGCGGAGGAGAGTTCCAACTCACTCGTTCTCAAGGACGACGACTGGGTTGGGGTCACGAATGGCAGCCTTCAAGAGACCCTTGGCGTCCTCAGAGCTCCATGGAGTGACAACCTTCAGGCCAGGTATGCTTCCATACCAGGCAGCGTAGTCCTGAGAGTGCTGGGCAGCGACACCAGCAGCAAAACCGTTGGGTCCTCTGAAGGTGATGTTGCAAGGCTGGATACCTCCGGACATGTAGTGAGTCTTTGCGGCGGAATTAACGATTTGGTCGATGGCCTGCATGGCAAAGTTGAAGGTCATGAACTCGCACTATAAACACCGGACATAACGGAGAAATTAATTAGTACGGAACAATAGAGCAAGACGGTTAAACGGCGAAGAATGGCCAGGATCTTTTATCACATACAACCGGATGAAGACCAGCAAGAGCAGCGCCAACGGCGAGACCACAGAAACCCTGCTCGGTGATGGGAGTGTCAATAACTCGACGATCGCCGAATCGGTCGAGAAGGCCCTTGGTGACCTTGTAACTGAACACCAGCAAAGTCAGCACCAATTTAACGAAGCAGCAAGCAGGATGTGGTCAATTGGGCTGTAGGACTCACGCTCCGTTGTACTGAGCCACCTCCTCTCCGAGAATGAAGACCTTCTCGTTGCTGGTCAGCTCCTCCGCCAAAGCCTCGTTGAGCGCATCTCTGACGGTGACCTCCTTCACGCCGCTGGGAGCAGCATACGAGCGTCTCTGTGCAACCGGCTGGGCGAAGACAGCCGGTCGGAAGGCGGAGAAACGGGCTGCTGGGAGAGACGATCGCGGTGCCAGCAGTCGGGAAGCCGGCCGTAGTATCCTGGGGGCGGCCATTTGCGCGGGAATTTGTGCTGAGGACGGGGAGAAGAAGCTAGCTGGGCGGTCTCTGGCGACGAGGGAGAGCAATTGGCACAGGCAGCGGTCTCACTGAGCTGCTTCGGAGGTGCGTCTGATCGATCGAGCTGCTGGTCTTGCGTCGTCTTCGTCGTCTTCTTCTTCTTCGTCTTCGTCTGCTGCTTCTGCTTGTTTCGTTGCGAAAGTCGAAGTTCTTTTTTTTTTTGTTGACGGCTTGTTGAGCTGACTAAGAGATCACGTGGATCTCAGTCTGGACCTTCGAATTTCAACATCAAAATCAACAACATCAACAACTAAACTACAGCCACAAAGTACAATGACAGCTACAACTACAGCAGTGACGGCGATGACAAGGTGAGAGACTTGCTTAGGGGTAAACCATAACTAATTCCAAGTAAAGCTGTCTAGTGAAGTCTTTGCGAAGAAATGGAAAAGCAGGCAGTGTGATCTATCAGCGCTAACAAACAATATAAAATCTAATGAACCACTAAGAGCTAGGACAGCTCCAGTGCTGACTTGCCCAGGCCGTGAGCATGGTTCTCATCTGGACGCCCGGCATAAAGGCCTCTGCGTCTTTCTTAGGGTCAAAGTCGATCCCGACGATCTTAGTAGCCACAGTCACCCAAGGCTCGAGGAAGTCGAGATACAGCAGGTCCACCACATTCGACGTCGAGGAAGAGTCATCATCGTTTGTAATGGTAGCCATGATGCAGTTTGGAGCCCGGTAAAAGGACACAGGGGTGTGCACGGTGTCATCACCATCTGTCCCGCCGTCATCTTTGGTAGTGTATCCTGGCGTCAGGGTAGGCTCATCACCGTCCTGCAGTGGATTCTGCTCGTTGTCGGCTCCCTGGGACAGCGGTATATGGACGGCCTTTGCAATAAAGTCTTCCGTTCTGGACCACTGTTCCGGTGGACTAAGAGATGAAGAATCTCTAGGCATAAATCCTGCCTGGGTGAGAATGTTGGTAGCCTTGTTCAGCACCTTCAAGACCATGACGGCCTTGTCATACGGCACATCCTTCATATATCGGAACTCGTTGGTAAATGGCGACACGATGTACGCGCCATCCTGAGTAAAAGGGCCCTTAAAGATGTCAAACCGGATGCCGCCCGTGTTGATGATAGCGAGACCAGTGGTATTCTCACGGAGGTGGGGTCTAAGAGAGCTAGGGAGGACCTCTTTCTCGAGCCAGCTGTAAATGCTATCGTCGGACGGATATTTGGCCCGGGACATCCACAGTGTTTTCGGGGCACAACCGTAGACATGGTCAAGCTTGAGAACACTTCGAGCCTTCCGGATATCTTCAGTCACCTTCTTCCCTTCAGGTGTGTGGAAAGTTGACTCATCATGGCCCGAGTGGTAGTATAGCGAGAATAAATTGTTATCAATATATCTTCGAGTGAAAACAGGGGAGGCCCTGGCCGCAGACGTCTGTTTCTTCGCTGTGCTCAGCCCGCTCAACGACGCAAAGCCAATAGTTTCCATAAATCGCCCGCTGGCAAGGCTGTATGCTTTGTTATCATACTTGACGTAGTCACGAATATGATGATGGGCCCCCAAAGAACTGAATCG